AGCCCCCCCCCCCAGCCCACCCCAGGAAGCACGCGGGCCCAGCCCCACCCTGTCGCCGCACCTGGGGCTGCTCAGACCCCTGGCGCCCCTGGGCGGGCCCTGAGCTCCCAGTGAGGCTGCGGGACCCTGACTGCCCAGTTGGTCCCGAGGGCACGGCTCCCGGCGGATGGAGTGACTGCAGTTCAATGCCCGGTGCTCGCGGCCACCCGGCAGGCAGGGCTCAGGGCCCAGAGATCCCGGAACAGTCTGCACATCCCCCAGGCCTGGGCCTTCACTGGAGCCTCCTGGTCACACTGTGGAGGCAGCAGCCCCACCACCAGGGTCAAGGACACTGTGCAGGGTCAAGTCTGTGCAGAAGGGAACTTACTGGACACTCCTCTCCATTCAGGGCACAGCTCAGTCTCCAGGATCCTCCCCACCCCAGTCACCTCGGGGACTGCAGTCAGGGAGCTGCTAAGCCTGCAGCCCCGGGAAGGCCCTCCTGGCTGCCCAGCAGGCCTTCGGGCCAACAAACTCACTGGGCTCAGCCTGTTTCCCCTCTACGATGAGGGGTGACACTGGCATCCTGGCGTGACCTAACATTGCAAGGCCCAGCTTGGCCCCTGGCCCTGCCAAGCGTACCACCCATGGGAGCTGGGGGGGAGGGGGTAGCGGGAGCCGGGCTCCCTGGCACAGACCTCCCCAGAAAGATCCAGGGCTGCAGAGTGCGCTGCTGGGGGACGCAGCAGCCCGGGGACACCTGGACCAAGTGGGGCAGCCCTGCCACACCTGCAGCCACGGGGGATGACTAGGGGCCCCGTTCGAGGAGGATGGGGCCACCTGGGCGCCATGACCCGCCTGGTGCCCGAGAGGAGAGCTGCTACCCGCACCCAGCAGACGGGGCCCTGGCTCCCCATGGACCAGGCCCTTCCCCCTGAGATCGGGGCCCTGGCTCCCCATGGACCAGGCCTTGGCCCCGGGCGCCCCTCAGCCTCCACCCACCGTGGGTGACCACCAGCAGCCCTGTTTTCGGCGGCAGGTTCTCAGACAGGGTCCCCTGGCGGACCACCCTGGCCTGGAGGGAAGAGACCTAGAGGGGAGCCCTCAGGAGGCTCCAGTCACCCCAAGTCCCACAGAACTGGGGGGTGTCACAGACCTTGGCAGCCACTTCAGGCCTGGCTTCCCCAGGGCAGCGCGGGTCACTCCAGCGGTGGCACCTGCAAAGGCACAGCTGGCTGGTCCGGGTCCCGCTCCTCAGTGCAGACTCACCCCAGGGCCTGCCCCAGCCTCCGAGGCTGCACAGACCAGTCCCAGAATCAGGCCACATCCCA